CCAAAATTTTCCCGATCCCCCCTGTTTGCCATACATTATCAACGCAGCCTAAACTTCCTTTCCAGTTYCCTTGCTTTTCTTCTCATCCCTCATCCATTCCTTTCTACTTCACATTCTCTTCGTATCTTTGTCTTCTACCTCGTACCGTATGATCTTTCCCTTACCACTGTGACAAATGTCGTGCCCATAGCCAAGTCACACCATACAGGTTTTCATTAGTTCCTAATGTAATATGATTGACATTTTTCCAGGTGAAACGCTGTGTGTGGAATGCTGCCAAGTGTCTACTAGCTACAAGGTGATTACATTTTAGTCATTTGTCTTTGTCTGTCCTTCTTGCGCGCGCAGTCAAGTCCAAAACCCAAGACTACACAAAGTTTGCAACACTGCGCGGCCGCTTAGAGCGCGCATCATATCTTAGTTTTATCAAAATATTTTTTWAAATCTGTGTCGTGGCGAAGATGGTGTAGTTAATGTGTGAAACAAAAGTCCCATACACTATTACTGCGCGGCAAATCAGAGCGCTCGTAATACCTTAGATCTACCATAACGAGTTTTTTTGTTTTTCATGTGTAGTGGCCAAGATGGAGTAGTGAATGTGTGGAACATGTCTAACAAGAGCCACACTATCCTACAACAATCCTACACCTTCAACTTCTCCCATGAGGAAGAGAGAAGCACTACACCTGACTTACGAGAGATCGACTCTATTTGCTTTAATGTGAGTTTGTTTTGTAATGTATTATTGTGCCAGTAATGATATATGGAATATGTGTATTTATAAACGGGTGGATGGTTGGAAGTGGAAATAGAGAATTAAAGTATCAATGAATACATCAATTGGCCTTCGGGAAAAAAGCTATGTGGAAGAGAAACAAATTAATGACATAAATAAATAAGAAATTGAAAAAAGGAACGATGCATGAATGAATAAGTGTTTTATTCTGTAAATGAGACAAACGAATTAGAAATAAAGGAATGGAATGGGGATGTGCGTAATAGGTAAATTACGAGCCTTATATAAAACGAATGAAGAAGAGGGGCAATGGCACTCATCTTCAGTCGTTTCATATAAGGCTCGTAATTTACCTATTACGCATGTTCTTATACGATTTCCGAGCCCATCCCACACGGCCTACCGCCTCATCTATCATGGAATGGGGATGGACGAGTGCTAGAAACATTGAGTGAACGAGCGAGGAATTGAAACAAGGTTATCTAATATTACGTGTTGTATTTTCTCCAGGCAAACGGTAAACTCCTGGCTGGTGCAGTAGAAAACCTCGTGAACATCTGGGCTTTGTCAGGTTAGCAAACACTAAACACTGAGGTGTATATGTGTCTCTAAGAAGGAATGAGAAAGGAAAAATAAGATGGAATGTGGGGAATGGGACGAAAATGGAATTAAAAGTTAAAAGATATTGTCATGAATAGATCTATTTAGCTTATGTTTTCCCATTTCAGACCACGTGTCATTCTCTTCAGAATAAGATTCTTTGTTTGAGTGGTATCTTTATTCATGTGTCTTCTCATGCGCAAGAGTTAAACAAAGAAATGATGCTCTAGAGAATGACACCTGCTCTGAAATGGGAAAACGTTGCGCCCAAGCTTAAAAGACCAATTATTGACCCATTAAATCTACTCTTTTTTTTAGTTTTTACTCAGATTTATTACTCAGATATTTTACCATCATCATAAAACCATCTCTAATACGACCGCCATTGGAAGTCTGTATTACAGAGGTTTGACTGTGTAAGTCATAATATTTTTTTCTGGTGGCACACAGGTAACCATGGTAACCTTGATAAGCACCCGCATCTCATCACGTGCATGACGTGGCCAATGTCACGGGGTTTCATGGAGAGCCATGCCATCACCATGGATAGCCTGTTGGTTGGTCGAATCAACGGTAGCCTGGCTGTCACGGAAGTTCTGGATAAGAGTTCAGTGACGAGAGTGGAGCTTGAACACTGTTCAAGAAATGGTAAGTAAATGAAGCACGTAGACGGACGCACGGGCGGACGCACGGACGGACGCACGGACGGACGCACGGACGGACGCACGGACGGACGCACGGACGGACGCACGGATTATTGATCATTATATTGAAACCAATTGCGCATTTGTTCATATTCAACATGTTAATTTGCGCATTATAAACAATAATAGTAATAATATGATATTAAAGAGATAGGCTGCTGCTTCAGGATCTATTCTAACTGTTTGCTTTAGCGGTTTGTGATCATAAAAACCTTTTACTTTCTTTAGTTCCAGTCTGTCGTGTGTCGTGGTACGATGACAGCAACAGCTTCGCTGCAGGATACATGGACGGAGTAGTGTGTCTAGCCAACAAGAATCCTAACGAACAAGTCAAAATGATTCCTGCACACCAGGTGAGAACAACGACAAATCCCATCATCTATGCAAGAAAAAATACACTTGCGCTTAGCTGATAATTTAAAAAAAATTTATTTTTAGTTAAAGATGTCAATTATCTTTCATCAAGCGGTTTTTTTTAGTAAAAAAAATTATTCTCGGAAGATGTTTTCTCGGAAAACAATTTTCGAGTTCCAAGCGGATAATGAAAACTTAATGATGCTTGATGAAACAATTCACATCTTCAATAATAATCCTTAATGCTTGTTTTTAGTTCTTAACATGTTTTAATACTTTATTTATCATCTAGAGTATGATTATTGGCCTTGAGTTCGATGGCACTGGAATGGCCTTGATATCCTGTGCAGAGAATGAGCCGGTCAAGGTTAGTGCCGTTACATCTTCTTTTGTGCTTTAATTTATGATATTTGAGCACGATATGTACGATCATCTATTCCATCCCACCCATTTTTCTTTCCGTCTGTCTGTCCATTCTCTTCCATTTTCCCACTTCTTTCCTCCCTTCCTTGCTCCCTTTCTCTTTCTATAATTCTCATTTTCCTTTCTTCCATCTCCTTTTTTCCCTTCCATCCTTCCTTCCTTCCTTCCTTCCTTCCT